CTATTGTAACAAGTATCACAATCTTCAAAATTATTATTTATTTTATTATTTATGCTATTTATGTTTATCATAATTCAATAAAAAGATTTCTAGTTAAAATGTTGATAAATTTTAGCTTGTATACAAGTTCTATCACTTCCTGAATGTGCGAGGGGTTAAATATGTAGGACACATTATACAGGGTCATATTAATATCGCAAGCTACCTTGAGCATTCATCGTTGAAGAAAGCAGGCGGAACTAATGGAGATTATGTACCTTTAAAGATAAAGCTAATCGATTTTGCACTGAACATACTTGTAGTCAGGAAAATGCGCAAGGTTAACGCTTGTTGTATTCATAACTAAAAAAGTGCACGTGTTTTCTTAAAGAGCTTCTGAAGGTTACTCAAATTTATAGCACATTATTCGAACTCTTTCAAAAGCATGCATAAAAGAGAAAATTTTAAAAAGTTCTCATAATATATAGTAGATTATAAAATATATAATAAAATTATTTTAAACAAATTACACAATATAATTTTTTAATATAATTTTTAATTGTGTAATTTTTAGCTTTCTTCGAATTTTTAATATCATAATTTTATATTTTATTTTTCATATTACATATTTAGATTACAAAAAATATATTATAAATATTGATAATTTAATTAAAAACGAAATTTCAGTTTAACTTTTCGTAGCGATACATAAAACATTTCTCAATAAATAAAATAATTTATTAAAGCATATTTTTGAAAAAATTGGATAATTCTGTATACTTACTTTGAGAATATTCTTCTCCCATCTGAGGCGGATACTCCTCGTCCCAATCGACGATGTCGTCTTCAAGCAAGACAACAATGTGACACTCGCGATCACCACGTCGTGCGCTATTCACCATTAATGGCAAGATTAAATCTTCTAAGAATACCTCGAACTGGCAGCGTGCACCTTCGTTCGATAACTCGTGCAGCAATCCTCCTGCAACAACAAATCTTATAATTTTAAAAATTCTTACAAGTAAATTATTTCCTATATTCTTACAAGTAAATTATTTCCTATATCGGTTTCATTTTCCGCCTACTTAATTTTTGAATTGTGATTAATTTAAGTCTCATTTAAATTGGTTAAGATTAATTAAAATATTTTGTGATACATGAAAGAAACGTTTATCATGTCATATATATTAATAATTTTTATATGTTACTTTTAATATTTTTATAATACTCACTGAGATTTTGGCATTTTACAGTGCTAGCATCGAAAGGCACTAGCAAATAATCACACGCCTCTCGTAGTTCTTGAACACTTACAGTTGGAGGACACCGAATTACTCCGCCTTTATAATATTCCAGAATTGCGCGGAAAACCATGGCGGAAATGCCATCGGCGACCTCATACTCGCCGCGTTCATTAGGTTGAGCGTATTCCACGCCCGAGCTGAACATACGACCCAACATAGTGTTGGGATGTGCTGTGAATAAAGCAGGATCAACAATAAATCTGAAACAATAAACAAATAACAAAAAAAAATAAATTAACAATGGATTTAATAAAAAATAGACAACAAATTTGATAAAAGAATAATTTAGAAATTGGAATATTCTTTGGTAATACAATAATACATCATTATCTCATTATTTGAGAATATGTTTCTATCTTCACCTGGTGTTGTCAACGATTAAGGTGATTCTTTCATCACTAGCTGGTTGATTGCTAACCCCGGTAGTAGATGCCGTCGCCGATCCTCCTGATATTGCATTATCTCTGTTGCTGTTCTGACTTTGACTTTGATTTTGTTTTGCCATATTAACGTTTGAACGAATTCTGTAGAAAAAATTAATTGCCTTTTTCAATAAACATGTACTAACGTATTTCTTTTTATTGCACAGATTTTTTGGTAGATGCATAAGAAAATATTGTGTTAACGCGGCTTACAAGACCTACCTTATCAATTGCGAAGCCTGGTAGCTCGATTTTGAGATTTGCAGACATTATAAGAAGAGAAGAATAATTGTTCGAAATGAATGTGTATACATAGAATGTGTTTCCCTTTTATTTAATTAAAATAAATATTTATAATGCTATATGTTTATACATGTGATTTAATTAAGATAAAGATAATAAAGATAAGTAAAATACATATCATTTATTATAGAAAGAGATGTGTACTTATTAAAAATAATATGTGTTTCATTCTTTTTATTTCAATTTTACTTAATGAAATTCCTAAATTATATGTTCTTGAACATTGGAAAAAAAGCGCTTTTAATTGTTACGTGCATTTACCTGTTCATGACTCTCATGCCGTGGGAATTTCTGCCGGTATTGAAAGAATGATAATGTCGATCGCCGCTGCTATCCCTCTGTACCAGACAAGATTTCGGCTTCGACGAGCCACCACAACTATACATGCACAGAACAACCACGTAATCTTATACTAATCGGCTACTAGTACAAGCACCTGTGACGTCTGTACTATGCTATTTTATAAGAATTTCTTGCTTCTAGAACATCTGGTATATATACATATCACAAAATGCAGTGCAATTATGTTAAAGCCAAATTCCCGTGATACAAGAGAATGATGTACGATGTTTTGGGAGATTAAACGTATCGCAAAAATAATCCTTTGTTCGTATTCATAAATATTTTATTTCGTGGAAAGTTGAATTTTGGGTGCCTATACCATGGAAAAGAATTCAATTCTAAAATATTATATGGTTTCAAATATGATTACAAATTTAGAAAATGTCTATTTCAAAGAGATTGTATTATCAATTATCAATTAATATGTATAAACACGCATGTATATTAGAAAAATATGTATGCATATTTCATACAAAACGATAATTGATAATATAATTTCATGAAATCATTCATATATATATACATATACGTACATACATATATATGTTATATATATATATATATATGTTTTATCAATATATACATATTAACGCATCAACTGTGGCAGAAAGCTCTATGAGTCAGATTAAGAAAATATACAATCATAATTTGATACATATTTTCTTTAAAAGTTATATCAAGACATTAAAAATTTTTTAATTTTCATAAGTTCTTATATATATAAATCCTTACTTATGTTTATACAATATTTTCTTTCTTATTTTTAATTCACAAAATATGTGACCTAGTTTGGTTATTAAAATCTGAAATACCTTGTAGAGAAATATTTGATGTTCTATGATATACAAAATGGTCTATGATAAAAAAGCCAATAGTGCTTTGTGAATTTCTCTAATTACAAGATATATATTTTGTCTATATATTCTTTACTCTCATTCTTTTATACATAGAATTCAAATATAAGATAAAAAACTTTATAATAAATTTTGGTCAATGATAGAAAAAATTAATATAAATATAGTTAAAATTAATCAATGTATTATGAAAAATGCATAACATACACTGTTTAAAACATAAATATATCTATGTAATATTATTCTATTTTTATTGTGCATTCTCTTTATTAATACATGTCTTATAAGTTTCATTAATTTCTTATCAATTGGCAAAATGATGCATGTAGATTGAAATATGAACAATAACTTACATGCAAATAATATATAAGGATAAGTGCATGCTGAAAGATCTAAGACACTGTAAGAATTCAAGTCAGAGCTAATCTCTTCTCGTTCGCATATAGAATAGTAGATTCTAACTTGTGAAAGTATCAACTTCCTAAATGTTAATAATAATACTCGTCACTTTGTAATATAACAGAAACAGTTGTAACAAGTATTGCTGTGAATCTACATGAGAATATATTATTATTCCACAGGCATTCTGTATTTTGCCGAATATAGAACTAAACGATTAAGCTTGGAGCAGGGAGAGATTTGGGATTTACCTCAATCTGTTCTTGTATAAACGATGTCTTCCTCTCCCATCGGTCTCTTTGTAATCTGTTTCTGTATCGCTGCTGCTGTCTTGCACGTAATTAATGCGCTCTGACGGATTTGACATGTTGAACCACCTTACAGAATAGAAAAGCATGTACAGAGAACATAATAAAGAACAGATAAAAATTTTTTTCTTTCCTGATGATTTCCGATTTTTCGCGGAATATTAATCCAAGATTTAGAAAACATATGGTTGATTTCTATTAATATATATCGTAGATTCTAATTTCGGTTTAATTTACTATTTATTCTTGAATTCTAGAAATTATAAAAAAAATGTAAATTAAACCGAGATTAAGCTACATTAGTAAAACTAGACACGAATTTATTTTTTTACATTATAAAAATATTCTAACCTTCTGACAGGAATCCTAACCTTCAAAAGTTTATCGTTTTATTTTTCTTTCTTTACAATCTTCATGATTTTATCTTTTTTATATCGTTAAATGAAGATTTTAATGATCAAATTTAATTTTTATTCACCGATACATAATAATATAAAATTTCATAATTCTATGCCTTTGTCAAATACATAGAAAGGTATCGCAAAAAAGCGCAGCGAATCTGACAAAATTTTCAAATTTTTTTTTAACCTCCTCGGATTCTAGACTGTCTTTAGAAAATACGGAATTTCGCCATTCTTGTCAAATATCAAGGAAACGTGTAAAATGAAATCCGATGACACTTACGATCTTGAGATCGAGAGGAACCAGCTGAATCGCTTTAAAAGCCTCTTCGTGGATTCGCAGATCTCCAGATCGTATGAATCAGCGTGAATATGGGTTTACTCGATGTGACAACGGCTCTCCGATTAATAGATATAACTATATAATGCACGTCTCAATTATGTCGTTATCATTCAACTATAGCCAATATCTCTGGAACATTCCTCCCCGTACGAGTTTTGCGCAATCGAGAATGAGAATGTTCCGTTCGGTTGCAACGAGGTTGAATTGCACCTGTACTCAGATCAACATTATGTCCGTTTCTATCAATATAGATTAGTTTTACTTGATTTAACTTTTAACTTTCTTTTTTTTAAGGAAAAAAGTAAATTAAAATAATCGAGATTAAAGATTGATATACATTGTCGGAAATGGGCAACAGATTATGATTTGGAGATTAAAAATTGCAAACTGAAGATTGGAATTTGACGAATCAAAATAAAGAGAATTGAAATTATTCGACCTATGAATTCGATTTGTAGTTGTTGCCGCTGTATGCGCAAAGCCTTGCATTTTTTATGCTAGTACATACAATCGCACAAATTAGCGATATTTCTGTAGAGAGTAGAGGATTCTTATTTGGAAGCAAATATCATGTTTATGTGAAATGTACACTTTTCCAAAGTGACGAAATATTACATTGAAGTATAAAAATACGTCAATTTTTATGCAGCTATCTCATTTATATCATGTATATCTCAAAAATATCAAATATATTGAGCGTGGTCGTAGGTATCTGCAGTTTTGTGTATACTTGTTACATTTTATGCTATCTAACTTATTTCTTATCGAATCATGGTGATAACGAAAATCTGCATACAGCATCAGGTATACTCTTAAATGACAACGAACAAATAATAATGTGATAATCTTATTAATTTTATTGTAAATAAAAACAAATATATCTATAGAAATAAACTCCATTATTTTCAGGTGACAATGCAGGCGAATCTATTTTATGGTCTCTTTTAATAGATATGTTACTCATCAAGATTTTTGTCTTTCAACATTCAATCATGGCCAATGAATTCTTTAAACATATCTTCTGCAGATTACAGATTGAATATCTTAGCAGAAGTATTTACAATGCCTGCAGCTCTGCAAGTCTTCATTTCTTGATCAGTAAATGGCAACATACTCCAGCTGTGACAATCTGGAAGTTTGAAACTTCTAATGAGGCAGTCTGGATGTTATTTTCTGGTTTTCATGTATTTGCTTGGAGTATTATTTATAGTGGATGTATTATGATTGATATTCCTGAACTCTGTGGACTCAAGCAGATATGGTATAAAGTATCTGAAAGAAGTGGTCTATTAGATACAAAATCTAATGAGTTTCGCAGATATATGAAGCATATGAGACATCCTAGTTTTATTGGATTTCTTACCATTTTATGGATTTATCCTATCATGAGGTAAGATTTTACACAATTATGATCATTTCTTTTAAAAAAGATAATAAATCACTAAATAATATAATTTTATATTCATATTAAACAATTTCAAACCTCTTGTAAGACATATATTTTTACTATAATTAGAAATTAGAAATAAAAGGAAATTTAATATTTTCTGAATAATATATAATGGTTTTCAAGTATAATAAAATGTGAAAATTAGTAATTTTAACTTAATGAATATTATCTTGTTTTTATAGTGTAGATCGGGTATTATTGGCTACTATATTGACAATATACATGGCATTGAGATGGACAATAGATTTCGAGGATTATAATTATCATAAGAGATATTTCAGACAGAAGCAAATAGAATTATCTTGATTATTTTTTTTTCATCTTTTGATTTTTCAAATTGTCTTTAAGATTTCTTTCTTGATTCTTGTTTATTTTGCATTTTATTTATTAACAACCACACATTAATGAATATTAAGAATTTTTATATATAATAGATTTATATAAATTTCATAAAAATTTTCAGATTAACATTGTATTATATACATATTAATTATAAGTATAATTAAAAATGTATGTATGTGATATATTTCTTTTTTTATATTGATTTTCAGATTTTCATGTATAAATATGATTAATATATAATATATTCTATATGTTTCTTGGAATTTTAGATAATGCAATCTCTTTGTTGATAAAATTATTTTCTCCTGACATTAAAATTTATTATGATATTAATGTATAAAAAATTGCGTTATATGTTATTGATAAAATTTAATAAATTGATCTAATATATAAAAATTTGTAGCCTAATAAATACAGATTTGCTGATACTTTCAATGATTTTTAAATATATCTTTCAAATATCGATTGTCGTGAATCGATCGCTGTGATAAATCATGATTAAACGAATGTTCCTATAAAAAAATCTGATATTAAAACCTTGTGTCCATAATATTAGAAATTAATTCGAAATCGCGGACAGAAGAAAAATCCGACAGAGAAATCATATTGATCGGTTAGTCGAAATAGCCATTGATTCTTTCTCCGAAATTTCAGACGGAGAGAAAACTAATCGCAGTTGTTATTTCAGTTAATTAATCCATATGGTTAATCAATATTTTCCTCATTCGAGATCTCGAATGAGGAAAATCTATCTCTAGCATTGTGAGTACAAGGCTTTAGGAAGGATTTTTAGAGAGTAAAAATGGACTCTCTGGTCGAGTGTCCAACCGAAAGATAGCGCTACATGTCGCGAGCATCTGCCGACGTGTCGCAAATACGAATGTCTTGCGCGAAGTTGGTTCGTGCTTTCACAGATTTTGCGAGGGTGGTCGTGCGGTTCACGTAGACACGGCCTAGCACGTACTTCTGTGGATTCCTCGACTATTATCATGTCTTCAGGTATGTTTTTGGTCGATGTGACGGTGAGTCGTGATGGAGTATGATTTTCTCGGAGCTCAGAAAGACCCCGAGGCATCGTCCGTATCGCCGTTCTCGTCGTGCACGTTCGCACCTAACCAAACTCCACGCGACGTGGTCACCATGCTTTCGCTATTGCACAAGCTGTGAGGCGCGCTTCGACACAGGGCACGACAATACCTCGTTTTGACAATGCGTCCGTATATTTTTTTTGCAGGCAAGAAAAACAAGAAGAAGAAGGGGGTGACTGTCGACCTGTGGTCGTTCTTGGCCGAGGGAAATGGTCAGACTCCTAATATACCGCTGAAATCATCTAATTGGGCCGACGACGTAGAAGATGATCATGGTAAGTCGAAAGAACTTTTTATCTTTGTTCTAATTTGACATTGATGATCGGTTGTCATTAGTTGATTATGTTTTTATATAAAAAAAAGTGCAACTAGGTTTTTTTATGCTTCTTTTTTAAGCATAATGTACTTGCATATAAATTAAGTTATAATTAATTTTATGGAGTTAATTTTATGTAGAATAAAAAATACATACAAAATTATTTTATTGTGTTCTACAAATTATATTCCAACAAAGAGCAATATACAAGATTACTATAAATCTTTATGATAATAAATTTATATTAATCACAGTAGTGGTGTAAAAATGTATATTTTCTTATTACCTTAATTTTTTATTGATTATTCATTTTATAGAAGGATATTCATCAAGGAGCAGCAAAGATCCAGTTATTCTGCCAACTGCTCCAAGAGCTGCACGAGGACCAGGGATTGATGAAGAAAACATCCCTACAAATCCCCCTTATGTAGCTTACATAAGTAATCTACCTTATGACGTAGATGAAACAGATCTAGCAGATTTTTTTGCGGAGATGAAGGTTTGTTATTTTTGCAAATATTTATTTTTGTTATTTATTTATATGCGATAGATTTTCAATAATTAGGATTATATATTAGGATTATATATTAGGATTATATAGATTTTAAAAGAGTAAAGACAATTACAACAAAGGATATTGCTGTTTTTAATTTTATTTATGTACAAATGCATATAAAATTGAATATAAAAATTTATTCTTTTTTTATCTCACATAAAACAATTGCACATATTTTACATATGCACATATTTTCTGTATACAGATTTCAAATATGCGTTTGCCAAAAGACGCAAATAAAATTAAGGGTTATGGTTACGTCGAATTCGAAGATCGTCAGAGTCTAATTGATGCTCTTTCTATGACAAATACAGTAAGGAGATATATATAATAATATTTATTGGTAACGAAAATTGGAGTTAGTGAAAACAATATTTTTTTTCCACAGACTATTAAGACGAGACGAGTAAGAATTGAAGTCTCGAATAGCAGTAACGATGATCGTCGTGGTGGTAGGATGGGCAGGGATAGTCGTAGAGACACTTATGATGATCCTGAACGCACATCTGGTGACTGGAGAAGCGGACCGCGCGAAGATTTGCTGGATGGAGATTCCTATCGTAGTCGGTACGATAAAGATCGACGAGATGATAGAGAAAGTATGTATGCTTTATCTAAATTTTCAAATAAAAATAAAAACTAGAATAGAAATTTTAAGAAAATCATTTATAATAAAACATTTTTTTCATCGAACAGGACATGATTATGATAACAAACCAGGTGCATGGCGTGAGAGAGATAGCAACGATAAGGGATCATCGTTTAAAGAAAGAGGCGGCTTCAGAGACGACAGCAGAGATGGAGACAGGGACTGGAATCGTTACAGTGATAGAGGGAGAAGCAGAGACAGAGACGGAGACAGGAGCAGTAGTTTCGGGCCACGTCGTAATTATGATCGTGATTCTGATTGGAATCGCGATCGCCGGCAAGATCAAGATGCGAAACGTAAGTGTACGATTATTCATTAGATACATAAAAGACGTTATATATCTAATCCAATCAATAAGTATCTTTATATTCAATTATGATTTAGCTGAGCCACGACAAAGACCGAAACTGCAATTGCAACCTCGCACGAAACCCGTGGAGCCTATTGTAGTTGCGGAAGATTCGGTAGCTAAGGAAAGTACGACGGAATCGAAATCAACGACAAATTCGGAATCAACTCAACGAGCGCCAGCTGCTGCGCCTGTGGCAGCGACTAATATTTTTGGTGCTGCAAAACCTGTAGATACCACTGCCCGTGAACGAGAGATAGAAGAACGTCTCGCCAAGTCTTACGCAGAATCACGATCTCGAGAAGAGGCGTATGTACAATACACAGAATATAATTCGAAATCATTCAATTATTAACTTGAATTATATCGCTTCATTATTTTTGATTGGAATCTCGCAAATTTTATATAATTGAATTATCATTATTTTATGTTAAAAATCATCATGTTTTCCATAAATTCGTGCAAAATTATTACATTAGCTTTTCTATTAGCAATTCTAATGTTCTATTTTCCTTTCAGGGACAATAGAGAACGTAAAGACGGCACTTGGGGTCGACGCAATGGTGTAAGTATTTCAAATACAAGGATTGCACATGTTATAGAATGCATTCATAACTATAAAAAGGCATGACTTAAATAATTTTTATATGCAGGAAGGACGTGATGACAAAGACAGGGACAAGGACAAAGAGAAAGAGAGGGGGCGGCCGGCTTGGCGATCAGAGGAAGATAGAGGTGCTCGGCTTGAGAGATCCGCACCACGATCTTTACCAACTCCCACTCGTTCTGGTAAATCTTTTTCACTTTTAGAAACTCTTACAAAATTTATGTTTATTCACTTGGCACCGATAAATATGACATATATTTCTAAAGTAGAAGAGCAAAGTGGATCCAAAACATCACCAGCTTCCCGTCCTGGGCCACTAATATCTAAAGGATCTCAAAAATCCATTGAGAAAGATACTCGCGCAGAAAGGTACTCTAACAGATGAAAATACATATAGATAATATATAGATAATATTTTTTTATTATATAACGATACTTATCTGAGATTTGTATTTACTTAATTTTGCTTATTGTTGTTTGCAGGGATCGCAAAGATAGAGAGAAAGATGAAATCAGTAGAATGCCGAAGGCTAAAGATGAACAAGCTCCGGTGAGTAAAATTAATTATGCAATATTATATTAATGAATGGTATGTTAAAGTTCTCTCTTTTTTTTTAAGAATTTTGTAGCTTCCAACAAATATTCCATGCTACCTGATGACGTGGATCCCGACAATATTGATGAATAGTCTTAATTGATTGCAATTTGAATCATACACTAAATTGTGCCACATCCAACACACAATTTACGTATTATTAATATAATTTGTTTTACTTCTATTATTGCATGGATTCGTCGTAAGCCAGGCATTCTTGGCATTACTCTACTGGAATTATTGTTGATTTGTATTTAATCTCTATTTTAATATCCTCTTAATATAACTCTATTTCTATATACCAACTTATATATTTACTTTACACCTTGATACGAAAAATTTCGGCAAATGTCGCAAATTTCTCGTAAATCGAATGAATGATTGCATCAAACTTTTTGTAATTGATTTCAAAAATAATTACACTGTATATGGAGGTGTAGCAATTGGAACTTTATACATCATACTTAATCTGCTGTACAGTAATTGTACAATATGTGACTCGTTTACATGTAATATAACAATGCCAATATAGAAGGAAATTAAAATAATAAGTATATGGGAACACAAATATTGCATTGTATTTCAATTTTTCCCTATATTATATTTCTCTATATTTTTCCTTGTATATCTCTATAATGCATTTGTAATGTAAGCATTTATATTTATATATATTGAAAATAAATAGAAATTGATGAGATCGATAAGAAAATATTTGCATATAAAAAAATATGCAAATTCCCGAAATGAATTATTAATTTTTTTTATTTATTCACAATTTTCAATTCTTTGATTTCTTATCAGCATCTTATAAATAAAGATATATATGGAATGACAATTGGAATCGAATTTATCGACTATAACTTGATTGATATTTTCGTGAAACCATATGTCAGCTCATATTTTTCATTTTTACATACGAGTTCTTTAATACATGATTGTTATACATGAAAAATAACTATATGAAACAATACTACAATTTTCATAATAAATATTCATTATCAAGAATCACATT